TCTTGCAGAGGAAATCAAGTAGATCATTTCTAGAAAAAATCCGAACTCGAAAGTCAAGTTCTTTCAAGAGAAAAAGAGCCGCGAAAAAATTCGCAATAATTATGCATCAACCTAATACATTGAATTCCTGCAGAATACCCACTTTTGTTAAAAGCTAAACATAAACCGGGGCCGGTGTACAGGAATGTGTTTATAACCTCCTGAACAAGCGGCTAGGGGACTGTACAAACACCGGCCTGAACAGTATTCCTGGGTTCAAGGAATCTAGAACATTGACGCCCAAAGACTAAAAGGGGACAAGGTGCGAAGGTGCTGCAGCTCCTTTTTCCAATTTCTTCTGCCTCATCCACTGTCTCATTTCCTTAAAACATCCACATTCAATGTGTATTTGATTAAAATTTCTTTGAAAAGTCTGCTCAAAAGTTCAGGCTGTTGCTTTTTATTTACCGGAAGCTGTATTGTTACATCGAGGGAAAGGCTGTACTTATGGCAGAGAAGGTGAGTTCTTCGAAAAACAGTTCCCCGTATTTCAATTTTTCGAAATAATGAAACTCTTTCATGAAAGAACATACCATGGAGTGAAAATTTTTTGAAGATATAACAGAAACATCTTTTGTTCGGTTCAGTTTTCGTCTTTGCCACGCCCATCCCGGGAGTAAGATGTAGGGGAAGCGAGCTCTCGGATCGAAGCGCGAATTTTCCGCAAGCGGCGGGCGGCGCTGCTGCGCGACGAACATGCGCAAGCTTCTCGTTGACTCATTTTAGAAAACTTACGTACTAAGCAAGGCACTTCACAACTTTCTAAATACAACGCGTCGTCCTTACGTTACGTGACACACACCCAGAGGCAAAAGTGTCCTTCTCATCACTAGGAAATTTGGCAGGTGGTCCCTCAAGTCGTACTCATGAGCAGCAGTGAGGGCTTTTACAACCAGCCAGTTAAGTCATCTATCCCCTACGGTTATGCTTGACTGATATCGCGCCAACCTGAAACGTAGTCAAGCCACCGGGACCCTTCGATAACTATGGAAGGAAAATGGGGTTTGTGGGTATTTCAATAGAACTGGGTGGTTTTTGAGCAGCAGCGATCTCTCCAGGATCCCTAAATGTATTTCCTTTCAGCTATCAAACAGGAACTACAGAAATTTGATGGCGAAATGGGAAAAACCACCATGAAGGTCTTGAATTTGCTGAGATTTGATTTCCTCTTGTCAAACGAAAATGATTGTATTTATCTTTCCAGATGACTAACGAGAAATATCAAATGACAACGGATTATATCATTCTCGAAGCCGACTATGAATTGACGACAGAGAAAAAGGGCACCGTAAAGGGAAAATTCACCCAAATCTGGAAAAAGACCAGCAGTGGTTATATGATCTGGCATGACGAATTCGATATAAATTAAAAAGTATTTGAATTTTTTGGTAGATATTATGTTTGTAACTTTCCGTTGGCAAATGATTTTCAAAGGACCGAAATCTTCGAAGGGAATATGAGATAATCAGAAAAATCTAGCAGTTTCTGTAAGGCATTCGTTCCTAAACCCATTAAAAACCCAAAATGAATAACTCCACATCATATCATTCTCTGGCCTGGCCTGGACAAATAACCAAACTACCTGTTTTTAAGTAATGTTCGACATTGGTCATCTTCTTCCCTGCAGAAATCAGTGCTTTATTTTCTCACAAATAATATAGTGTTTGATTAGAGATTTATATTTCTTCTCACATCAAAAACAACACTTTGGAAGATATAATTTCACAAATATGCTTATCAGAACTACCGCCACAGTGTGGAAGTGGGCGGTTGAACCAGTACACAAAACGTCATATTCTACTGGCTCACCAAAAGCCAACCCTAGCTGATATTATTCCCGATCATATGATAACGACGTTTTGCATTCCTAATTCTATAAAGAAACCTAGATTTCGTATATACAATAAATAACAATAATGCGTACCACTCTAGACTAGGCAGACGACTGAATCTCACAGACAGACAACAGCATGTGAGATCGTACAGAATGAAAAAGACGAAAAAGAAAGAAAAACGAGAAAAAAACGAGTGAGACAAGACAGTAGAATGCAAGATGCAAGAAAAACGACAAATCGTAAAGCCAAACAACAAACTTATTCTCTCAAAAAANAAAAAATATAATTAGAAAATTTTTAACACGAGATAGGCATAATAACCGGCTCAAAACTCGAATGGTTGTCCTGATCAGAAAGGAGATTATCATAAATAGCGTAAGCTACTACAGAAACGACCAGAATCGTGGAAAACTTACAGATATCGCAGCAATTCGGAACTTATACGCGAGCGATAGATTACGACTATTCACTGCTTTACTAAGCTGATCAACTTTAGATAAGTTTTGGATCGCCAGCGCAAAATAAATGCTTGATCGTGGTCATAAAATCTGAAAGAATAGAAAAATGTATAACAACCAACAGTGTGAATGGTGAAATTCACGGCTGCTCTAACCGACTTTGTATATCAGTGATACTGGTATCGTTTCTGAAAACATCCGCAAAAGTAGCTGTGAATAATAGAGATCGTTAGCAAACGAAAAATGACCCACGCGAGTACAGAACAAGTATTAATTCCGAAATAGAAATCTCTTCAATCAAAAAGTTATGTCAATCAGATCAGGATGTACCAAACAAGACAGTTATGACAAGTAAAACGAGTCATTCCATATATGAAAGAGGTAGAAGCATATAGCATTAGAAAAAATCGTACATTTCTATTCAGCCTTCTCTCCGCTTGTGTCTTCATCCATGTAATACTGCTGTAAGCGGACATGCCAAGCAATCGACGCACATGCTGATATCGTACGGAACTGGTGGACAATATTTCGTGGCAGAAAATAAATATCGTTGTGATGAAGCTGTAAAATGCATAAATTGTAAAGGAGCTCTTCAATAAAATGACAAGTAAAAGCTGTTTGGAAACACTATATGAAAACGCGTCAATATTGTACTAAACACTTGAAATTTTTTAAGGCGATACCATGAGCTTTGAACACATGCAACGTTCTGCGAAAACTCCTTACCACCCCTCTGATATCGATTCCATCTTATGCAACCCCATTTGCTAATTTCGTAACGCAGATCCGAAAAATAAAGAATGACGGACAAATGATGGCAATGTCATAAGGCGCCCTCAGAAAAAGTCATCAGCCACTAACTTGTCACATAGAAAAGTCGGTTTGGTTCCAAAATAATATTCTGCAGAACACCACGAAATATAGGGTAAGGATGTAGAACGATCAAAAAACAATGTAAAAAGCAAATGTTCCTCTGACATTCAGCGTTGTAAGGGCAACCATTAAAAAAATTTTTCTCAGTAGAGCAGCTTTTGAAAAAAAACGTGCCAAGAACGAAAACGTCTTCGCTACAATTCTATGCAAACTCTATGCGATACAAAAGGTTATAGCAATGCTTTTCTGCATTTTCTAACCTTTAAAATTGATGGAAATCCCACATAACACAATCGAAGCAACTTTAGGCTTTTTGTTTATGAAGTGAAAGTTTTTTAGCGCCCTATACCAAACCCTGCTATGAGGTTAGACCATTGCTTGAGTGTGGTCAAAAGATGAATCTGAGGCAGTCGCTATGTTCAGCTAGCCTTAACAGCCCATGCGGGCACGCCCAAANAATGATATTATATTGTGATCGCAATGCTGCGATGATTTAAATCCCGACGTAAGCGTAGTAAACAATATTCAGGATGTTTTAATAGATCAGGTATTAATACCATATCAGGTATAGCATGAGTAGAAGGCCCAACTCAAAAAGCCTCCTACAAACCATTCGAGGCGAGGTTACCAAAACATTTCATCCCTTCACAATGAAACCTGTGAGCGTGCGCAATTTATTAGCAAAAAGTAAGCGATCCCTACGAGGAGTGGCTTATGTGACCTTGACCGATTTCATGATGTTTCTGAAAAATACGAGATGTGCTAAAATCAGGAACCTTTTTAAAAGATATTAGTACAACACTCATTGAATGATTGGTCGTTATGACTATTAACCCCAAGTTCTAGCTATGCCCACACAATTCGCACAGAGCTGAACGCTGCTGTCTCGTTAATGATAATAAGCGTCCCCATGTCGCCTGAAAAAGATCGATACTGGTTGTTTTTTGAATTTGCACGTGCGCCTCTTTTTCCGCAAAACCTTACGCGCCAACTAATCAACAAGGGAAGCAAAATTAGATATGTACAATTTAAGAAGACAACCAGAAAAGCAAAATGAATCAAAATGCACTAATGATCCAATAATGAGAATCGTCCAAGTTCAGAGCTTGAACTTCTATTCACGATCAAAAAATGATAATTACCTGAAACTTGGAATATCTGACACCTTCCCTCCGCAGTTGATTCAACTTTGCTTCCTCAACCCATTGAACGCACTGAAAGCTATTATTTTTCATATGTAATGCAGAACGGATGAATGAAAGATACAGTCTATAGCAGTTGAACATGAGTAGAGAAAGAACTACCTGAGACATGGGAGGCTCATATAAGTCGAGCTGCAGCGTTTCTACAATGCGCTCAAAATCTGCTGCATGAAAACAAACGACATCTTTAACAGCTCGACGGGATGGTCTGAAAATAATTAGTTGAACGTAGCACTGTTTCGAACTGCACATCAGAATCAGATTTTCTACGTAAGCCACCATGAAAAAAAGTAAGAAGAAAAATGTAGTAGGCCAATGAACTTGAATGACCCGCCAATGAATGATAACACTTACTTCTCATTCGGAGCACGTATTGACTGAAGAATTCCTACAGCCGCTGTTGTTTTACGTTCCAAACCATCTCCGACATGATCGGCATGGCAGGGTGTGCGATCCTCGAACAGCAATTCCCGTCGTTCGTAGTGACTGAAGAAAACAACAAATGAACCATAGCAACATAGCAATTGGGACATTCAATCTGCTACCGATGCAAAATGTATGAAAAGACAATCTTAGAGAGTGGATCACAAAATAGATTTTCAATTAATCACCGAATGGCATGCGAATGTCCACGTCCCGTCGCCATTGCCTTTCTCCTTTTACTTTCTCGTTCGTCTTTGACGTCATCCGTACGAATTAGCTGAACACAGGTGCTTATGAAAAATACAACTAACCCATCTAAGTTAGAAATAAGACCACCCAGATTACTGTGTCTATGCGATAAAAAATACGAGCAAAACGTGCAAAATCATAAGCTCAATTTCGTAAAAAAGAAATGATATTGAATGTGAAGAAAAAAGTGATCTCATTTGAATGAAAATGAAATTCTTGATAATAGCTCAGTAAAAAAAAAACTCGCACAAGGAACAAGCACCTACCTGTTCACCCGGGCGGACCCAAAATATTGGGCCATCGTCACATTCCGTCACGCTGTCAAGATGAAGCGCAGACCATTCTCCCCATGGCATAATTGGCCGCAGAATCTGAGAAAAATAAAAAAATAAAATAATAAAATAGTTCTCTTGCAAGAAAGAGGCGAAAAGAGAAACAATGAAAGAAAGGATAATGACATGACATGGAGATCAATTTAGTTCATTTGGAAATTGTCCTGAAAGACTGAGAACGGTTTTTATTAGGGTGTCTCAAAAGTTTTGAGAAAATTTTGGTCATGTATTTCGCAACCATGCTGCGCAAGAAAGCGCTGAGGCAGAGCCACGGAGAAAAGGTCAGTAAGAGGTCACGCTTAGCAGATCATCATAACAAGAGAACAGTATTGCACTTTATCTTTGGAAGTGAGTTATCAACATTTGAATTATTTTCGACTGACACGACTACAGGCGCCTTCTGCTTCATTACTACCGATCTGGTCACTCCGCCACTCAAGAGCGGAATGAATTGCAGTCATAGATGGGCAGTACTGCACCATCCCTCGCCACCTGCTATAGGTGGTACGGCCGCTTCTCTAGAGAGAGTTTCACTTCGACGAAGTGCCACGGAGCGGACGTCCACGTTCCACCAAGACCGAAATTGTCTTAGCCTCCGTCCAAAGCAATCCTTCTCAAAGCTTGAGGGGAATGGAGAGGGCGACTTCTGCTCCCCGTTCCACCACCCACGACATCCTACGCAGACGTCGCTTTCGCGCAGCAATTCTTGCAACTATCCCCCACACCTTGACTGAGAGCGAGCGTCAGGTGCGGGTTGATGTGTGTCGGAAGCTACTCGACCGCAAGCGAACGGTGGATTGGACGAGCTTCATCATCGCTCAGGAGGAGAAGTGGTTTCCTTATGATAATCCATACAGGAAGTTGCAGTGGCTACCAATCGTCATAAGGCCAGAAGCCGTTGCCAAGCGTGNTCTTCTTATGCTCTACCGGCTTCTTCTACTATGAGATCGTCCCTGAGGGTGCTGCTGTGACTGTAAGGGTATTCCGCGAGCAGCTGCGGGAGATGGTGTCTGGAGCCCCGGTTTCACACCGAATGCAGAGAAAGTTCCTGATTTTGATGAGTCACGCTCGACCACATCATGCTAGGGCGACGGCTGAGGAGCTGGAAAGGCTTGGGATTACCTGGCTGCCCTATCCTCCGTATTCACCTGACCTTAGCCCTTGCGACTACCACGCCTCCAGGACTCTGCAAGTTTACCTCAAAGGGAAAAAATTTCATAACCGTCAGGAGGTCAAAGGTGCAGTAGATGAATGGATCGCGTCGCGCTCCTCCTCTTTCTGGATGAATGGCATCAGTGCTCTGCCCAGTCGATGGAGTGAGGTCATGGCTAAAGAGGGCTACTATCTCGATTACTGATCTCACCTTTTTGTTGTAGTATTTTTGTGTTGAACAAACCAAATAAATTTTCTCAAAACTTTTGGGACACCCTAATAGTATGAGGAGAATGGATTCCACCTCAAATGATTTCATGAAAGTTTATTGAAATCTTCACATATCATGAGTGGGAGCGAACACTTACAGGAGACTTCTCCAGTTCTGCCAGCAGCTCTGCAAAATAGTCACCACATTCTTCCTGCTTTGCTCCAACCATTGAAACCGAATGCATCGGACCGCATCTGGAAATTAATTGTTCGCACACACGCAAATGTGAACATTTTAAGGAAAATCTCACCGATATGTGCCATGATGACATGTTTCCATGACTTGCTTGTAATATGTGTTGAAAGGCATGGTTTCGACAAGTTGCTTATTGGTCAATGATCCAATCTAGAAAAACCGAGCACGTGAACATTATCTTAGGTGAACACGAAAATAAGCACCCTGTGCTAACTTTGACTAAAACATTTCCAACACAACGTTAAATACAAAAAGTTGGCATAAAAAAATGCAGAACATAACCAAAGATCTCCAGATTAATAACTATAACTATAATAACTATATCACTCGCTTCCACCGAAGGCATTCCAGTAAAACCTATAGGTAATGATAAATCGATTCTGAGACACTTAAAACTCGACTGATGATCATTAAAGTGTGAGCTATTATTAAGAAACTAGAGAACTTCGGAGAAGGATTCTATCGTTGAGATCAAAAACAGTAAACTCTAAATTATGCAGTAAAATTAGGATAAATTCAAAACACTCCCTAGAATAAGTAAAAACGAACAGTAACAACACTCACTTTTACCGGCAAATGTGGATGTTTTTCGTGTAAATACTGGAAGACATCCTAAACACTCTGTATATGCTGGCATCAAAAAGATCTACATTGATACCAAAAACTAGACTTACAACAAGATAGGAAGCAGCATTTTCGAGAACACCGATTACAAACACAGGCACTCCATTCGATTCAGCTAATCCAAGACGAATAAACTGCTTCGCGAACTCCATCCTTAATAGAGGCGAGTATGGAGGAAAAAAGAATTCGATAAGTAGTTTGTAAGAAGCATGGGGGTCATATGAATGGACAACAATGAGTGTCCATGTGCGACTGTTAAATGAATCTCGGCATTCTTCTTTTAGTTTTGAAGTTAGTTTTTAAGCTGTATAACCGAGATATTAACGAGATTTATTAGGCTGACCTTTCGGTGCCTTCACCTTCCTCGGAGCCTGGAAAGAAAAAAGGCATCAGAGATGCACCACCATTTAGATGCCTTTTGTCTTTCCACACTCCGAGGAATGTGAAGGCACCGAAACGTCAGCCTAATAAAGCTTGTTAATATCTCGGTTGTACAGCTTAAAAACTAACTTCAAAAACAAAGGACAACAATGAATGTATTACGAACGGCTCCTGACCTTTCTTCAGTGTCGAAATTTCTTCTGATATTATTCCAGTCCGTTCTCAGTATTGATGCACCACCATTGGGATGGGTGTCAACAATGACGTATTTTCGGAACTGAAATTAGTCAATATTCATCAGACAAAAGTAAAAAACTAAAAGAAGAACGTGAAGGATGAAGTAACAAAAATAACCAAGAAATGGTAAAAGAAGAGTAACAGAACGAATGCGGAATGCCAGGGAGCAAGTGAAGTATTAATGAGACTCACCTTGTTAGATATTCTCGGTAGCTTGTCTCGTTTTTCACTCTTTACTTCTTTCGCTTCACTTGCACTGTTACAGTTCTCCTTGATGCATTTAGCTGGGCTGTCGCAAGACCGACTTTCTGAGTTACCGTCAGCAGTGCTACTTGTACCATTTGCATAAAGACTGGAAGACGTGCAGGGATATATGGAATGAGTTTCACCTTTCTCCCTGCAAACAAAGAGAACACTAGCAAAAGCAGCAGTAATTAAAAATTTGAAATGTACGGGATATGAACGCACTCTTTAACTTTGCCATGCTTCCGTTGTTCTTCACGATGGCATCGGGCAGAACCGCTAGAACTAGCTTCGCAATCGACGAGATAGTCATCAATACCGTTCTAAATAATACCTCGTAAACATCTAACGAGGGAAACAGCAACCTGCTGCTGACCGCATTACCTTTTGCTTAGGCTTTTTCGAAGATGAGGCGGCAACAGCTGAAGTACCAGAGGAGGTCGAGAGTTCACCACCTCGATTTTGCTTACGTGGGGTTTTACTAGGAGAGCGCACGTCTCTGCTTGAAGACGAGCCCTAGAATTTTTGCATAGAATTTGGTAACGGATGAAAACATTAAATGCAACAAGAAAATGAAACCAAAAAACCGAAAACAAAAGATGAACGAAAAAGAAAAAGAATTAGCAGAGAAAAAAAAAACGAATCCAGAACAAAAAAAAAACTAGATTGTTAAGTTGCTCAGTAGATTGTTAACTAGACTGAGTAAAAAATAAAATGAAGGAGGTAAAAGTAAAGTTGAGGATACGAAATATAACGAACACAAGGAACGTGACTACTTCAAAAACTAGCCTTGGTGAGAGAGTCGGATACGTGAGAATGCGACGGTCTATGTTTCTCCTGATCCTTCTTCGCCTCCAATGAGGTATTTTCACCATCATTCTCTGCTCCAGTAACTTCAGTCTTAACTTTAGGTTGAGTAACCTTTTGAGGTGTTCCATTGACCCTTTTCGACTCTTCGGTTGGTTCGATTCGAGGTAATTTTCTCTCGGAAGTCGGTTGTTTCTTCTCAAAGGATAGCGGTGATGCAGTATCAGTTTCCGCGGGTAACGATTGCGAAGCCGGTGCCCCATTGCGGTTCACCTTTTCCCTCTCATCATTACTGCCGTTTACACCAGAAGGCGATTTTTCCTTTCCTGCAGCTGCCCTTTTAATTTTGTTTCTTAAATCTTCCGGAACTTTCCGATCAATTGCGTCCATGCTATCGCTCGACGAGGGTGTGCCCAACTCAACATTGTTTTCACACCTTGACGAAGTCCCATTCTGCGTAATGGCACTGCTAATTGATCTAGTAACGTTGGAGACAGAAGTTGCGCAATACGAAATTGCTTTCGTATCGCAATCTGTTTTCACCTCGATTCCTGAATCCCCGGCAGGAACGTTACAGTTATTCATCGTTTCAACAACTTCACATTCCACGTGTAGCTCCGCTTTTACTGATACTATGTCTTGAGAAACCAGGCAACCATGCTGAGAAGCGGATAATTTTGACAGCTCCAATTTCGTTTCAATTCGACTCTCTGGTAAGCGATCGACGGCTTCCTCTGTTCTTCGAACAGGAGAGCATGGCTAAAAAACCAAATGTCAATCAGTAGCAATCTTGCATTATAGATTGGTAATCTCTACATGATATCCTTTAAACTTCATCTAAGGAGCGAATAATCAAGCACGCAATAAATATTCCTTTTGACTACATTAACTACTAGAGCAAAGCAAGCGAAGTCATGATCGAAAAGGCGCTCACATAGAACACCTGCTTATCATCCAATTCACTATCGTCAAAAGAAATCACCTCTTGTTTTATCCGCTTCGATTTTCGTTCTTCCAAGGAAGCTACATCCCCATTCAAAATTGGCTCTTTGTCGGACTTGAGCTGATTGTCCCGTGGTTTCTGTAACAGATAAGCCGTTTCAATTGAAAATTAAAAAATGGAAAATAAATACAATATAATGCAATAAATAACGAAACACAAAGCAAATAAAATAAAATAACGAAATGAAAAGCAAATAAAAATAATATGAGTAGTTGAAATACTGTGTTAAACACTCGTAACTCACTTCTAGACGTTTCTTAGGGCTAGTTTTTTGAGGTTTTGAATGTGAGTTTGACAAATCCACAAGAATCGGATCGGAAGCGAGAGAACACATTGGTTGAACCTCAAACAATGCTAGTTAAACGAAAGAAAGTTGAGGCAATCAACAAGTTTCTATACAAGTTTCTACGAAATGTTGCGAGGCTACACACCTTTGCTTGCTGCTGCTCTGGAGCAGGGCCATTTTTTTGGGACGACCTCTCTGCAGCACAACCACCATTATTTTGGAGAGGCATAGAAGTGGATTCTCCAGCATCACGCGCCGAATTTCTTATTGACGATTCGCGACTAACTCTATCGTCTGAGGTGCTCGGTGTCTCAGCAACCTCAACTTTTGGTACAAACGTCGGTGAAGTAGCTGGAGACTGTTCCATAGGAACCGCTATCGATGATCCAGTAAGCTCAGCTGGTGGAGGCGGAGGAGGCGAACATCGCCCCTGCGGCTTTGTAACATGGTTTTGAGCACTCTTCTCTCGTTCCTTAAGCAGAAATATTCAAATCTCCAATGGATAAGCAAAAAGAGCTAACATAAAAAACAGTTTTAGGAACAGTGAAGAAAACAACGATTATCACCTTCTGTAGCTCAAGCTGCTTTCGTCGTTCTTGCTCCTTTCTGATTTGTTCTTCAATCTTCCTTTCAAGTTCGAGCCTTCTCTCTTCGTTTATAGGCTGCAAAAGTTCCTACGATAACGAAAATAAAGTACTAATCAAAGACAATTGGGGAAAAACGTACAACTTCTTTCTTGATTGGTTTTTGAGTAGGAAAGTCGGAAATAGTTAGCTTGACTTGTGCCGAGGCTGGTGGTATCGTTGGCTGAATCATTGCTGAAAAAAAAAGAAATCAGACATTATTTTCTCACATCCCACAAGCTCCGCTCTCACTGAAAAATAAAATTAATTCATTAACCAAAACGTACATGAGCACTGCGGTATCATCGGCATAGGCGGCATAGGAGGGCATCCAGGAAAAAACATAGGAGGTGGATAGAAAGGCGGAAACGACATCCTATACATGGGTGAATTCACTTCAAGTTATAAGAAAAGTTACACAAGTGAATTCCTAATTTATGACAGAGATTAGAATAGCTAAAGCACATACATTGGAGGTGGAGCTCCATAGGGCGCCGGTGGAACAACCGGCACCTGAGGAGGATAACCTGCAGGAGGAATTGGTGCTATTGGGGGAGGTACAATAGGTGGAGGAGGAACTTCTTCTTCGCAAGGTGGCATTGGAGGCGTTCGTGGTCCACGTGGACGGTTCATACTAAAACGAAAATATATGAAGAAGATAGTCAGATTCCGACGGAGAATTCATCTTTTAAGCTTCTCACATTTCAATGGTCAAACTTTAACTTGCTGAACCTGTTCTGTAGTTGCGACATAAGAAAATTGAGGAATAGGAATAGCAAGACATTCGATCAATTCGGCTGGCTCAAAGATGGGGCATCAAATTTACAACCCTTCTTTTGACCTTTTACTTGCAAAATTTACCACGCAGCTCATCTTGTATGTTTGTCGACGTGATAATCCTTACATATCGAAATCTGAAGCGGCCCAACTCTTTGTTGGAAGCAGGCCGAACAACGCACTGGTCTTTTTCTCCATCTTTCATCGTTACCTCACAACCACCTCGACATTTTGGTGCAAAGGAAAAGAGCTCACGGGAAATTTTCTATTCTGTACACCCCCAGGCATTTATGACATATCAGTCTCATTTTAGAATTAAAACCCTCTAGCTCCAGAGACATTCAAAACGTAACTTTGCCAACTTTTCTCTATTTCTAAGGAGAAAAATGATAACATTGCGTAACTAAATGGAGGGAGAAAGGCGAATTCAGTGTTGCCATGACCACAGAAAAAAAAAGAGAGAAAAAGGATAACACTCGGAAAGCAATGTGATGAACATCGTTCTGAATTTGTAATTGAAAACCTGCAAAAAAAAAAGAAATAACACTAAACGTACCGCTTGGGAGGAGGAGGTGGTGGAGGGCACAATGAAGAAACTCTACCAGTTCCCACCTACGAATAATTTAATTGAACATTCTCATCACCAGCGTGAAACAACTTGTGATGCGAAAACTTACCGTCACTGAATTCATTCCAGTACTGTAAGCTGAGATTACCACGGGATCGACGCATGGCTGGAAGATATCATTATACAATGCCATTCATTATTTTACGAAAAAACTCCCAATTCATGAAATGAAATGCGGTCACATACCTTTAACGGGTCGATTTGCGTGCACGGACGAGTGCTATTATGCGGTGGTGATAGTGACTGAAAAAATATGACCGTAATGCAAGTGATTTATTCAAGTGGAAGCAATCGTATATCCAGACCCTTGACTACTAATAAAGGCCCAACTGAAATTGAAATATTACCAAACGATACAGAAATGTACCCCAGATCCCAGATCAGTTCGAAACCTGTCATCGATGACAAACTGACTGGCACCTTGAATAACCTCTCCGCACAATTTAATCAATAATGAAAAAGAATTTTCCTTCCCAATTATTATTCCAACCTTCCCTAAAGGATTGCTATTCTGTCAGTTTTTAGCTCAGAATTAGTCTCCCTTTCTCAAATATAGCGATGAAACCCCAACCCAGTAATCCTGAAAGCAAAACTTCTGGTGTTGATACTGTTCGTGCCACAACCACTCGA